AACACATGTGTGGCCAAGGTAAATCACAACACTGAGACTCTAGGGTCTCGATACCTTTTCCCCCCTTCCTCATAGAGTCTGCAAGAAACATCTCCTTGGGTGTATCATCTCTCGTGGGAGGATTGCCCAGCTGGGCTCTCAGGTTCTGCTTCTTTTTGCTAATTAACTGTCAATTGCCAGGAATACTTCTCTCTTGAGCCATAACAAATTCTCTTTTTATACTACCAAGGGTCTTGATTCTTGAAACTGCTTCCAGCCTTAAGTGGCTACATCTCTTTATTCCTATCTTTCAGGAATCTTTTTTTATATGTTTCTTGTGGAGTTCAGTGACTCTTTCTGGTAGAGTACTAGCTCTGCTTCAAAGTGACAATAGAAGATAGGTGGGTGGGAGAGAAATCTCTTCACTCTAATGCGCAATTCCCTCTCAGGGACTTTATTACTCCTTCTGGAAGGAAATGGTTAATTTTTAGCACAGCGAATCCCAAAATACTCTTCTAGTTCCATCAGAGATATGTGTTCACAATTTGTAAAAGAACCAGTGAGTGTTAACACATTAATACTTCATCATCTGTGATTATGCCCCCAATACCTCGGTCTCCTCTCTTTCTTTTTTTAAAAATAAAATAACGCTTTTAAAAATATTTTGTTTTCTATGGCCTAAATTCTCCCCTCTCCATCCACTCCACTTCCCCTCCAGAGAGCTATTTCTTGTAATAAAGAATTCTGAGTTATTATAAATAAAACAAATTTCTATAAAGATAATCCTATTTTTCCTCCTACTCCCATTGTGTATTCAGAGATATGTTCCCATAGAATAAAAAAAGTCACCCAGTAGCTTGCTTTCAGATGGAAAATAAACAAATCTGAGAGCTGTTATTAAATGTCAGAGCTAGGACTCACACCAGATATAAATCTGACCCAACTTGTGTGTGTTCCTGGATTAGACCCTTCATCCATCATGTTTTTTGGAGGATCTTTGCAATGATACCCATACCAAACATCAAATCTTTTACTCTACCATATTAGAAACATGGTACAATGAGCTCTTTTTTGTGAAAATTGAATCTATTAAGTTCAGACAGGCAGACTTAGTATAACAATTTATGTAGGAAGGTCATTACAAATATTCACCGAAACTTCCAGAAAATATGATATATCTCTGGCTTGTAAAAAGACTACTGAGTCCATACAACTATTTCTCTATACCTTTTTTTTTTAACATTTTAGCATTATGGTGATAAGATTTATTTCAGAGATCAGTCCTTATGTCTAAGGCTCAATTGAAGGCTGATACTCAGTCTCCTCTTTTCATGGATTCTGGTGTCCATTTTTCTTTTAAAACTATGTCTCTTTTTTTTTTTGGCAAGTCAGTTGGGGTTAAATGACTTTCTCAGGGTAACACAGCTAGTAAGTGTTGTGTCTGAGGTCTGATTTGAACTCAGGTCCTCCTGACTCCAAGGCTGGAGCTCTGTCTGCTGTGCCACCTGGCTGCCCCTATGTCTCTCTTTTTACCAACTATTACAGGCATTATCCTACTATAAGCCTTATGAACAAGACTGTGAAATACCACTTTTTCAGTGGTACTATAATAGGATGCAAGTATGAAAATCTTACAATTTTAACCTGTATTTGTGGTCAAATGATAACATATAGTGATATCTTCCTAAAGGGGGGAATGATTAGTAAGGTAATAAGAAAAGGATGTAATGTAATAGTTTTCTAATTAAATGGAATAGTAAACTTTGAGAAAGCAACCAGATTAGACTGTTTTCTTTAAAAAGTATATGCATATATATGATTGGTTTCCAAATCTATCTATCATGGAAATTCAGGCTTTCAGTATGTCTTAGTAATAAGGTTCTCAAAATTGGATTAAGGATTTTACTTTTAAAATTGTATTGATAATTATAAGGAGAGTGAAATTATTTTCCACTTATAAAGTATTTGTCTTATAATTTTAAAAGGCAGAAGATTTCATTTTACAATTAGACATTTGTGAATTTTTTAAAAATTCAAAAATCAGGTATAGGATTTAGGTAAAGCTAGAAACAGCAAATGGTATATAAAATGAAATTCTCTGAAGCTTTAAGATTGGAGAACCAAATTTAAGAGATTGTACTAAATTGTATTATCTTGTTACTACCGGAATTAGCTAGGAACCTCTAGATTTGGAACGAGAGAAGCAGAGCTCCCTTCAGAGCTGTCCTGAGATTGAAGCCTGTTGTCCAAGAGGAAAGATCTAGGGAGAAGATGACTACCTGATGCAACTGTGACTCAAAACTAGTCTGATTAAATGGACATGGAGAATGGATCACCAGGATACAAGGAGACTTGATGTTAGTTAATATTGATGATCGTTATTGTATTGTCTTGGTCTTTTGTTTCACAGTGTTTGTGTTTAAGCTTTCTTAGTTACTTTGGTGACGTGTAAATCTCCCTTCTCAAAACTAGTCCATTGTGAGACCTCTAGGTAGTTTGATCTGTAACCTGACATAATGTAATTATGATTATGAATTTATGAAAAACCTTATAAATTTGACTTATAGATAAGTGACCAATGGAAGGAGTGGGTTGCCCATTCCCTCATAAGGTGAAAGGGGTAAATTGAGTGAATCGAGGGGATTAGGAAAGCAAGTGGTTAATAGTGGGAACTGAGTGAACCATACTGATTCCATCTTGTGACTTGATCCTGGAACCACCTTAGTATCTATTCAATTATGGGTCTAGCGCAACTTCTGTCTTGTGAGAAAACTTTATTTAATTGTGGAATTGGGAGAAAACCTTATTGCATTGTTTGAACCTGTCTGTGTGTGGCTGGGAAATTGGACCATCTCTACATGCTGTTTAGAGACTTTTAAACAAGGACCTAGGTTATGCTGACCAGAAACCTAGATCCAAAGACTGATGCAAGGAGTTTTCTCACAATTGCACATCTCAAGCAACCCATATGTGTTATCTTAAAACTGGCCCTATACTGATCAGTCAGTCATTGTTTCCATATTACAAATATTTGAGGAGTGGGACACCTCCTTTTCTGAATTCAGAAAACTGCACCTGTTCACACCCCCTCCCCGAATCTAAGAGCCCCTACCAGGTCCTTCTGACTACTCCCACATTTGCCAAATTGCTGGGAATTGACTCCTGTATTATCTGAAGAAAGCCCTGACTCCTGAGTGGACAGCAGAACTCTCCAGGGACATCAAGGTTTGTTTAGCATGGACCCAGAAGCCAGATAAGACAGCTGTCCCAAGATTAAGGACAAAGGTTGACTATACCATCCTACCTTTTTCCTCTTCCCTTTTGTTATGTGTCTGACCACCAAGGCCTTGAGTTAAGCATGTGTTGGCATTTTTTCCATTTAATTTCTTGGCTTCCTGTTTTTTTTTCTGCTTGCACAGACAATAGCTAGGCAAGACTGACTGCTTTATATGCTTACAATCTTCACCCTATTGAGAGTTTCACAATGATACCTAGTACATACTTCCCCAATAGGTTCCCTAAAGGAACTAACCTCTTGGGACAAAAATGCCATTCTTCCTCCATCCTTCTTCATTGTTAAGGGGGAAAGGCTAACAAATTATTGGATTTGCCACCTTAACCCCCAAGCTCACCAACCTAGCCTTACAGTTGTCCCTCAACTCAACATATTATATCTCTGTGGCCCCATTTCTACTGAGTTCCACAGTGACCTCAAGAACCTCCCCTTTCTCTCAGTTCATCCTGAGTCTGCTTCTCCTTAGATTACTACTGCTGAGACCCTGTTTAGTATCATTGTCTCTGGGAACACTTCTTCTGCTAATGCTCTCCTTTTAGCACTAGCAGCTCAGGACTTCAATCTTACTGAAGATAGTGTGCCCAATAAGACTTTCCTTGCAGCTGCCACCATGATCTCCCTTGGCAAAGCTATCTATAAGTTTTCCATCTCTAGGTGGGCCCACTGTTACCCTTCTCTTCCAACTTCCCACTTATCTGCCTCTGCTAGCAGCTGCCTTTGATGTCACAACACATATTACTGTCTGTCTCCCTCTCCGTTGTATCTTCCACTGCAATTCCCCTGGTGACATCTTGGCTTATACCTGCCTCTCCTTTCTTGGCCAAAGTGGGAAGGGTTCCCCCTTGGCCAAAAGGGGGAAATGTTAGGGCTCCCATTCCAAAATCATCGCTCTTTTTGCTCCTCTCTTTTCTTATTATTAGGAGATACCTTGTTTTACAGGGCTAAGGCCCAGCAAGCAAGCTGTGATATGAGCTTGGCATAACAACAGTCCTTTGCACTCACCCACTGGATGAACTCTGCTGCAGTTAAATTACAGAACTGACAGCCCCTGAGCTCAGGCAAGCACCAGCAGAAATCATGTCTTGGACATGAAGCCCTGCTATTAATGGACTTTTTATCACTAGGTAACCTTGCCTCACTGTTGCTTTTATGCCTCCCTGCTGTCGCTACACCCCACTGCTTGATTCTTTGTCTAGCCACAACTATATATATCATGGCTTAGCCTCATTGCCTTAGTCTCTTTGGTCTGGCATGAAAGTCTAGTTTTCCTCCTCTAGTGGAATAAAGAAGGCTTTTTACTATAACTCCTGTGGTTCTTTGGTAATTTATTTTTCAGAGTTGATAGTTGGTGTATAACCTTTGGGAGCTCTCTGGTATTTTCAGGGTTAACAATCTCAAAACCAACAATGGACATGGTGCTGTGGATTGTTTGAACAATTGAACAATTTGAACAAACAACAATTACATAAAGATGTAATAAAGATCTATACCAAGCCTACCAAGTCCAGAGGGGTAGAGATAGTTCAGTAACAAATATTTGTTCAAGGAGTTCAATTTCACTAGCAACCAGTTCATACTAAATGTTGAATGCAGAATTGCTCCAATACACCCATTCTGGTGGAGGTCACGGATGTGATACCTGAGGTGAAGCAAATGAAGGCATTCTGCCAGTATGTTCATGGTGGGGAAGAAAAGTGTTACATTAGAAAGATGCTGATAGACTCAATCACCATTGGCATTGCAAGTTTTTATTTTGGTCCTTTGATGGTGACAGAAACACTGAAGTCCTATTCCCAAGGAGGTCATTAATTTCCAGCATTATGGCACTTTTATTGCCAAGACCCTTACTACTCTAAAACCATAGACTATATGCTTCATCATTGTTTTGAAGATCTTCACCACCCTGGAAATCACTGCCAATGATGACACAGCCAAGGAATGATTACTTTGGGTCCCAAAGATATCTTCCAGCTGTGGCAAAACACTTTGTGGCCTTGTCTACCAATATACCAAAAGTTAGAGTTTGGAAGTAACACTTAAAATGTTTGAATTCTGGGCCTATTGTTGGGATAAATTCACTGTGATCAACTCTCTGTCTTTCAATCACCCTTCATGTTCATTTTGACAACTTTGAGCAGATTCTAGATGTTCAATCACTTCCACATGATCCCACCAGAGGAAAAATGCCTTTCTGGTGTTTGCCATATCAACCATATGGTACATTAACTCTTTTGGGAGCTAGACTCAGGCCCTGCTGCCCTATGATGACCAGTACAATGCTGTATACACCACTTTGCTGCCTGCTTCCAGTATTGCAACATAGAGTGAAATGGGAAGTATATCACCAAGTCAGATGGTCCAGTTGACTACAACATAATTCCCATTGCTTGGGGACAGCCAAGGACCAATAGCCACTATGATTTATGCCAGGTAATTCACCACAGTACCTGATAATTCCCTGTGATTTTCCCATCCTTATCTAGACACAGCTTCCAATATTTAATGACCTTTATTACAAGATCCTCCTAGCTAACTTCCCAGCTCAGAATGGGGTTCTGATGAAGGGGAAGACAGCAAAGGAACACAAGGAGCACCAGAAATAACCTGGAAAACTTTCAGCCTCATAGGGTCTTTGAGGGAAAACATCCCCACAATGCTCATTCCATTTATTCTTAGAGCCTTAATTGTTGCATATGAGCCCAGGAACATTGTTCAGGGCATTGTCTGGGATGTCAACAATTATGATAAGTAAATAGTGGAGTTAGGAAAGCAACTGGTTTAGAAAACTGAGCCTGAGTTGGATTCAAATGTGCTTGTGAATGTTCATGTTGGCTCTACCAATGGGCTAATCAGCTTTCTAAAAAATAAAAGAAAATAAGGTCTCCCGTACCCTCTTATTCCTCTTCATCTTCCCGCACCTCCATTATAGTCTCATTTCTGGCAAAATCTAATGGAAAAATCATTCATGCTTTCACCATTGCCTATTGTATAATAAGTTTGGGAGATTCAGATGATTGTTTTTATCTCTTTACTCAAAAGTAATCAATCCCTGCAGTTATTTGGGAGCATTCATTTAAGCTAAGGAGAACTGAGAAGAGACTGGCTTGCAAATGAGAAAGTTACTAATTTATTAATTTTAATGGGGAAATATATGAATCAGTTTTCTAAGGTATAAATGACTGATTAGAGATGGACCCTTATATTCCTCTAGGATTTAAGAGGCAGGGCAGGGAAGGGAAAGACAGGGAATAGAGAAGGGAAGGGAAGGGAAAAAAAGAAATCAAAGTTTAACACCATTGTTGTTATACTTCCATTCAATGGACACAATGAACAACTCAGCCTTAGAGTCATTTTTCTACATCTAACTGAACTCTCTGGATCATGTACTCAATTGTGCGGGAAGTCTTTAATACATCTCTGGCAAGTCCTACAACCTGGAGACAGAAGTTATTTTGGGGGGAAATGGTGATATTCAAATTTCTCTGTAGCTTGTTCAGTTCCTTGAATTCTTCTTCACCGAAGTTTTGGATGGCTTCATCTGAGGAGGTGTAACTCTTTTGTTCTTTTAAAATTAAATCTTGTATCCAAGAGACAGTGTTTTCAATATTCTCCTCACTTTCACCACATATCTGAAACACAGTTGATTCTATTTTCTTTCCAAAAACCAAATCATGTCTTCTAAGACCTAAAAGTACTAAAAAAAATAATTAATACTGTGAGAATATACTCATGAACATTTTCTAAAAAATGCCAATCACAAAAAAAGTGTACAACTTACCTTTTAATTTAGAGAACAATGAGGTCGGCACCACAGAGCCCTCCCTTTTTTTCATAATGCCATAAAAACATTTTTAGTAGCTGTGGCAGGAAGACGACTACTTTTACATTTTTCACTGATTGGGCAGACCCTTTCCATGCAAAGTCTTCAACAGCATCAATTATTTTTTTAGCAACAATATCTGGGTCTTGTTTGGCATTTCCTATAAGAATATAACAATAAAAAGATACCACCAAGCAATCAATTTGTAGGTTGAAATATTTATAGCTAGAAAGGACCTTAGAGGCCACCTAGTCCAAATCTTTCCTTTTACAGATGAGAAAACTAAAACTTAGAGAAGTTAAGTGATTTTTCCCATGTCTACACAGTTAGTGAAGTATCTGGCAAGAGATTTGAGCCCAGGTCTTCCTGATTCCAGCTCCAGCATCCTTTCCACAATACCATGATATGTGCAATGTGCCTAGGATTTAGTCCTAGAAACCTACAGTCTCCAGGGCAATGTTGACCCATGAATCTGATTGATTAAGACTTTGAACTCCCCTATCCAGGCAGTTCAGGTCTCTATTTTTCTTTTGTCCCAGCAGGTTGTCCTTTATGGTAGGTAATTTATCTTATCCTCTAAACTCTGAAGGACACTTACATGAAGAGAAGCCATCCAATGTGGGTTCAAACTCTGCATTTTTCTTTGAAAATGGGAGAACATAACATTCCTTTGAGCTACCTCATTACAAAGGTCATTTATTCAACTATCTGTATTATTTTTTATATCTCTGGGTAACAAGGAAGATTTTTTAAAAACCAAACTAAATATCTTTTTCCCACAGGGAGCTCATACCATAAGGTATGTAATTCTTTTCATTGGTTCTAGCTGATAAATCTAGCCTGCAGCCTTAATTATGACTATCAGTATGAAAACTTTCTACCACTGGTCAAAAAAAAGGTAATTAGACAAAAGACTGAGGATACAACAGGGTAAACCCTTCACCACTCTCCAAACTCAGAAACTGTCCAAAGTGGGTTAGCAACAGCAGCTTTACATAGTATTATAGAATTCAAAGCTGAAAGAGACCTTAGAGATATTGTCCAACCTTCTCATTTGAAGATGAGGAAACTGAGGTGAAGAGAGGGGAAGTGACTTGTTTAAGATAACAGAGGGTCAGAATTTTAAACCAGGTTCTTGACTCCAAATCCAGGATGAAGGATTAAATTGTTACATGAATATGAAATATTTCATGAATATCATCCTAAGACTTATATGAAGTGATGATGGATGAAGGAAACAAAGCCAAAAGAAGAAAATTTGTGATGACTACAATGATGTGAAAAAAAAAGAGTCAAAATGGAAAGGCAACACAACTCTGGTCAGTGATTATGGCCAAACTTAGTATCATACTGTCCAAATTAAAGGACACACCCCTTTTTTCTCTTAAAAATTGACACACTGTTTGAGGGGGATATATGTTGTAAAGGATTTTTGGGGAGTGTTTGTTAGGCAATATCTGTTGGGTTGAAAAAATGAAAATTTTTTAAAAGAGTAAGTACAAATTAATAATGATAACTATATATACATATGTGTATATGTACACATATATACTTAAAATAAAAGTTATCTCAGAAGTTATGTAGAGGGTGGAGCTAAGACAAAGAAGCTAGACAACCAGAAGACTGTAGTAATACAGGTATAAAGTAATGATGATCTGGACGAGGGCAATGTTCATGGTGGTAAAGAAAAGGAAGAACTGAGTCTGAGAAATATCATGGCAGAATAATATGGCAAAAATAATCAACAAACTTCTTTTGCAACATGACTAATAAGGAAATGTTTTACATTTATATATATAACCTAAATCAAATCATGTAACATCATAGGGAGGAGAGGGAAAAAATTTCGAATTCAAAAATTTCTTAAATGAATATTTTAAATTGTCTCTACATGTAACTGGAAAAAATAAAATACTATTTAATAAAAAAAAAGGAAAGAAGATTATCAACAAATATAGTATATCTGGATAAGTGATCAGGGTGGCACAAAGAAGAGACCAAAGTCTGGGTTTGGAGGTTGTAAGTCTTGGGTAAAAGAAAGATAACAATGCCTTTAGTCATAAAATTGAAATGGAAAATGGTTGCAATTTGTAGGGGAAGATAGTGAAAAGAGCACTGAAAAGGCAATGTGGGTTTTAATTGTGTCTTTGTACTAACTCACTGTGCATTGATTTGGAAAGTCACTTAATTTTTCTAGATTTCAATTTCCTCATCTGAAAAAGGAGAGAGTGGCCTAAAAATATAGTATACTATCAAAGGCCCCTTTCAGCTCTAAAAATCTGATGATTCCATTTCTGTAATGAGTTTGTTTGATGTGGTAACTTTTAGGTAGCAGCTGTAACTTGAAACAGAACCAGGAAGGAGGTAGGTGGAATGGTGCATAGAGTGCTGGACTTGGAATTAGAATATCCTGAGTTCAAAGCCTGCCTCAGAAACTTACTAGTTGTGTGACCCTGAACAAGTCACTTAACCTTGCTCCAATTCACTTTCCTTTTCTAGAAAATGGAGGTAATGGTAATAGCTAGCATTTATAGCACTTTGAGGTTTGCAAAATGCTTCATAACTATTATCTCATTTTGTACTCACAACAACCCTGTGAGGTAGGTGCAATCATTCTCTGAGGAAGATAGAGAGATAAAAGAAGGATGAAGCCTTGGTGGAAAGAGAGGAGGAAGAAGAGCTGCTCAAAGAAACTGAACAACGAATTATTTTTTTTTCCTTTCCACTTATTCCTGTCTCTATTCTTTTGTGCCCCTTTCTTGCTCTTTATCATTCTAGTCCAGGGGTGGGGAACCTGCAGCCTCAAGGCCACATGTGGACCTTTAGGTCCTCAAGTGCGGCCCTTTGACTTTATCCAAACTGCACAGAACAAATCCCCCTAATAGAAGGATTTGTTCTGTCAAACTTGGACTCAGTCAAAGGCCACAGAAGGTTCCCCATCCCTGGCTACTCTTTTGATTTTCTTTTTCACCTTGTTCACTCATGGTTTTGAGTATTCAGTGAGATCCATTAATTCCCACAAAGGCAATGGTGCTTGGAGTTAAAAGGATTATCAAGACAGACTAACCTCATAGTTACTTGCCTTGTCAAGTTTTATTCTTAATTTATTAGTGAATACAAAGGCTAAGGGACACTGATAATTTAGAAACTAATTCTGCCAAGAAGCTACATACCTGTTCCAATGAGTGGGAGGGCAACAGATTTGCTCTTCATCTGCTCACACTCTTGTAAGACACTGGAAACTGTGTCTTTAACATCTTTGTGACCAACTACATGAATTATTTTTTGGCACTTCAGATTTCCCCCTCGTGTAATTATAAAATTGCCATGAGGCAGTTTAGCTGGAGAAAGAAGAAAAATAAAGGACATAAAACATGAACTATTTAAATCCATCAGTTATTAAGAATATAAAATATTATATTTAGGCAAGGGAAAACAGTGCATAAAAAAGAGTCTTGAATGACACAATCCTTATTGATTTTTTTCTGTTTAGATTTGTATAGATTCTCAAAGACGAAAAGGACCTTATGAGTCATGTAAGTACAACTGTCTCCCATGCATGAACTCCTACAACATCACTGACAAGTAATTATCCACTTTCTATGTAAACACCTCCAGTGATAGCAAGCCCATTCCATTTGGGGGCAACTACAATATTAAGCTCTTCTTTAAATCAGGCTTATTTGCAATTTAAGTTTTGCCTCATTGCAACTTAAGTTTTGTCCTCTAGAGCTTCATACAATAGACCTAGTCCCCGTTCCATATACCAAGCCTTCAGGCCTTTGAAGATAATGAACTTTACTACATCTCCTACCACTGTTAATGTTGTCTCTTTTTGAGGCTAATGAAAGTCAGTTGCATATGATAGTACCTGGTGAAGGTTTTTGCAGACTCATAAGGAACTCCCCTAAAGCCTTAAAAGATTATTTAAATTTTTAAAAAATAACATTATTTTTCATTGTTCTTTTCTTTTCAAGTTGAATTCCAAATCTCCCCCACCCCTCCCTCACCCATTGAGAATGCAAGCAAATGATATCAATTAAACATGTGAAATCATGCAAAACATATTTCCATATTAGCCATATCACAAAAAGGAAAAATAAATAAAATGAGGAAATTACACTTCAATTTGCAGAGTTCACTTCTCTCTCTGGACATGGGTAACATTCTTTCATCACGAGTCCTTTGACTTGTATTGGATCATTAAATAGATCAGGGTAGTCAAGTCTTTCACAGTTGATCATCATTACAACATTGGTGTTACTATGTACAGTGATGGTTGTTCATTTCACTTTGCTTCAGTTCATATGGGTCTTGGCGTGCTTTTTTCCCCCCTGAAACTACCCAACTAGTCATTTCTTACAGCACAATAGTACTTAATCACAATCATTTGCCCAGTTGATGAACATCACCTCGATTTCCAATTCTTTGACACCACAAAAAAGTTGCTATAAACTTTTCCTTTTTCTTTGATCCCTTTGGGATACAGACCTAATACTGGTATTGCTAAGTCAAAAGGTATACATAGTTTTATAGCCCTTTGGGCATAGCTCCAAATTATTTTCCATGATGTTTGGACTAGTACTCAACTCCCCCAACAGTTTATTAGTGTACCTATTTTTCTTCATTCCCTTCATCCATTTGTCATTTCTGATAGGTGTGAGGTGATACCTCAGAATTGTTTTAATTTGCATTTCTCTAATCAATAGTTAGAGAATTTTTTTATATGATTATAGATAGCTTTGATTTCTTCCTCTGAAAACTGCCTGTTCATATCCTTTTACCATTTATCAATTGGAAATGGCTCTTATGTTTATAAATTTGACTCAGTTCTCTATATATTTGAGAAATGAAGCTTTTATCAGAGAAACTTGCTGTAAATTTTTTTTATGTTACTTCATTGTCTATGCTACTTTTAGCAAAATGTAGTTTCCTTGATTATCCCTTTTAATTAGGTCTCTTTTTGCTTTTGTTTTCTCTGAAATCATGATTACTACCCCTGCTTGTTTTTTACTTCAGCTAAAGCATAAAAGATTTTGCTTCATCCCTGTATTTTAACTCTGTGTGTTTCTGTTTCAAATGTGTTTTTTGTAAACAATATATTCTTGTATTCTTATTTTTAATCCTTTCTACTATCCATTTCCATTTTGTGGGTGAGCTCATCCCATTCACATTCACAGTTATGATTGCTGTGTATTTCCTTCTGTCCTAATTTGCCCCTCTTTCTTCTTCTCTCTCTTTTTATCCTGTCCCCTTCAAAAATCTATTTTGTTTTATTATTTTGTTTTATTTTATTTTTTTTAGGCAGTTGGGGTTAAGTGACTTGCCCAGGGTCACACAGCTAGTAAGTGTGAAGTGTTTGGGTCTGAGGCCAGATTTGAATTCAGGTCCTCCTGACTTCAGGGCTGGTGCTGTATCCACTGCACCATTTAGCTGCCCCCAAAACCTATTTTGCTTTTGACCACTGCCTCGCTTAATCCACCCTCCTTTTTATCATCCTTCTCACCCATATCTCATATCCCCTTCCACCCCCCTACTTTACTGTTGGGTAAGAGATTTCTATACCCAACTAGGTATGTGTGTGTGTGTGTGTGTGTGTGTGTGTGTGTGTGTGTGTGCGCGCGTGCGCGTGAGCACACACGAGCATGTCTGTGTGTGTATTTTTCTCTCTTTGAACAAATTCTGATGAGTACGAGGTCCAAGCATTACCTGCCAACCTCTCCATTTTCCCTTCCACCATAAAAGCTCTTCCTTACATACCTCTTTTACATAACAAATACTTCCCTATTCTACCTCTCCTTTTCCCCTTCTCCCAGTGCTTTCCTCTTTCTCACCTCTTCATTTTTTTGGGAAGATCATCCCAATATAATCACCTCACATTCATACCTTCTGTCTATGTAGACTCCTTCTAACTGCCCTAATAATGATAAAGTTCTTAGGAGTTAGATGTGTCATCTTCCCATGTAGGAATGTAAACAGTTTAATTTATTGAGATCTTTATGATTTTTTTTGTGCTTCTCTTGAGTCTTGTATTTGAAAGTCAAATTTTCTATTCAGCTCTTGTCTCTTCATCAGAAATGCTTGAGTTCTTAGAATAATTGGGAGGTGGAGCCAAGATGGTGGAGTAATGGTCTGAGATCTCCCCCCAAACCCTCCAAATACCTTTTAAAATGACTCTAAACAAATTCTTGAGCAGCAGAACCCACAGAAAGATGGAGTGAAACAAATTCCCAGCCCAAGATGAGTTGGAAGATAGGCAGGAAAGGTCTGTTGCACTAGGGAGAGAGAGGAGTGTAGTCCAGCATAGGCTGTGCCAATGCAAACCAGGCCCCAGAAAACCTGGAGCAGGCCTTGGGGCAACTAAATTATAGGCAGAAATGGTAGTTTCTAGACCTCTCAGCCCACAAATACCAAAGACAACTTAGAAGATCAGCAGGAAAGGTCTGTTGCACCTGGGTGAGAGTGGAGCACAGTCCAGTGCAGATTGTGCCAGCACAACTCAGGGTGAGGAGGAGTACTAGCACACCAGAGCTTACAGCCACAGTATGAGATCCTCCTCACAGTTCCAGGGTAGAAAAGAGTGCTTGTGGTTGATCATAGACCAGAGCACAAGCCAGAAGAGTAGGAAAGATCTCTCCTTAGATCATGCCACCTTGGAATAACTGAAAACTTACAGGTCTCTAGAAGTATCTCTGAAAACAGCTGCAGAAAACCCCTGAAGCTTGGGATAGTGTACCTTCCACCCTGGAAGCAGAGCCCTACTTTAAAAAAGACTTAAAAGTCAAGAATATAAGAAAAAACTCTGACTATAGAAAGTTATTATGGTGACAAGGAAGATCAAAACACATATCCAGAAGACAACAAAGTCAAAGTTCCCACATGCAAAGCATCCAAGAAAAATTTCAATTGATCTAAGAGCATGGATTTTGAAAATCAAGTAAGAGAGATAGCAGAAAAATTAACAAGAGAAATTTGAATGATGCAAGAAAATCATGAACGAATGTGTCAACAGATTGCTAAAAGAGACACAAAAATACTGAATACACCTTAAAAAACAGACTAGGCAAAGTGGTAAAAGAGGTCCAAAAAGCCAGTGAGGAGAATAATGCCTTAAAAAGAAGAACTGTCCAAATGGAAAAAAAAAAGGTGTAAAGGTTCACTGAAGAAAATAATTCCATAAAAATTAGAATGGAGCAAGTGGAAGCTAATCACTTTATGAGAAATTAAGGAACAATAAAACAAAACCAAAATAATGAAAAAATAGAAAACAATGTGAAATATCTCATTGAAAAAACAACTGACCTGGAGAATAGATCCAGGAGAGATAATTTAAAAATTATTGGACTACCTGAAAGCCAAGATTAAAAAAAAAGAGCCTAAATACAATTTTCAAGAATTTATCAAGTAAAACTGCCCTGATATTCTAGAACCAAATGGTAAAATAGTAATTGAAAGAATCCACTGATCACCTCCTGAAAGAGATCTCAAAAGGAAAACTGCCAGGAATATTCTAGCCAAATTCCAGAGTTCCTAAGTCAAGGAGAAAATATTGGAAGCATCCAGAAAGAAACAATTTAAGTATCATGGAGCCACAAGCAGGATAATACAAGATTTAGCGGCTTCTACATTAAAGGATAGGAGGTCTTGGAATTTGATATTCCAGAGGGCAAAGGAGCTATGATTACAACCAAGAATCATCTACCTAGCACAACTGAGTATAATCCTTCAGGGGAAAAATGGAAATTCAATGAGCTAGAGGACTTTCAAGCATTCTTGATGAATAGAAAATTAGACTTTCATCTCAAGAGAAGCATAAAAAGGTAAGCAGGAAAGGGAAATTAGAAAGGACTTGACAGTGTTAAATTATTTACATTCTTACATGGGAAGATGATATTTGTGACTCATAAGATCTTTCTCATTATTAGGGTAGTTAGAAGGAGTATATATAAGCAGAGAGTACAGGTGTGAATTGAATATGAAAGAATAATATCTAAAAACTAAAATTAAGGGTTGAGAGAGGAATGTACTGGAAGAAAAAGAAAGGGAGAGGAAGAAAGGGGTAAATTATCTCATGTAAAAGAGGCAAGAAAAGGCTTTTACAGTGGAGAGGAGGTGAAGGTGAGTGAGTGAACCTTACTGTCATCAAATATACCACAAAAATGGAATAACATACACACTCAGTTGGGTATAGAAATCTATCTTATTCCACAGGAAGGTAGTGGGAAAGGGATAAGGAAAGGAGGCTGATAAAAGGAAGGGCAGATTGGTGTGGGGCAGGTAGTAAGAAGCAAAATACTTTTGTTTTTTCGTTTTTGTTTTTTTTTGGGGGGGGTTTTGTCTG